GTCAGGTGGGCCAGGGCGGGCCAGGTGGCAGCGACGGCCTCAGCCTTGAGGGCACAGCGCCACCTGGTGGTCATATAGCAGATCACTGCGCAGAGGCACAGCCAGGCCTCTGCCGCCTGGTGAGGGCCTATGGCTGACAGTTTTTGTTTGCTCCCTCAGCCAGTGGGCAATGGCAGGACAGGCCCAGGGCCAGTGTCCCAGGCGCCAAGACCCCAGCACGGCCTCACCCACACCTGGCCCCCCTCCGTCCACAGGAACACACGCTGTGTTTGGGACAAGCCAGGACAGTGCTGGTGCATGACCTGGTCAGCCCACAGTGCTCAGCCCATCTGCTGAGTCAGGGGTCTCCGACTGCCCCAGGCAGGTGCCCAGGTGTGAGGACACCGTTCCCAGGGACACACTCTTGTCCTGGTGCCAGCCTGATGAAGTCCAGTTGTTGGAGTGTGACAGCTCCCTGACCACCAGGAGCCCAGGGACCCCCAGGAAACAGCCTCGGGACAGCTGTGGTCACCATGGATACTAGGGCAGAAGGCAGCCAAGCCGATTGTCCCTGATGAGAGTAAAGAATTGGCTTCCTGCATGAGGCACCATGGTGACCTGGGGGGGTTGGGGCCCTGCCCCACCCTCCCGGTCACCTCGGGTCGCCATTGGGTTTGCTGCAGGGCACCCAGGGGATACTGAAGGGGGTACCACAGGGAACTGGGGTTTGGCAGGAGCCCTCAGAGACCAGCCTCAGGTGCTCAGAGCCGCAACCTGCTCCCAATCTTGGTCCAAGCCTCAGTTTCCCCATCCACAAACAGGGTTTCTTGCCCTGAGGTGCCCTGGAGGAGGTTGCAGCCAGCCAAGGTGCAGGCAATACCACAGACGCCTGGGCTGCCAGCTGGATGGAGAGCCAGTGCGCCCCACACAGGCACACCGACACCCTCACCCACCCTCCGTCCCAAGAGTGCAGATTCAGCACAGTGGGTGGGCCGAGGGCTGGCCACACCCCCTCGCTCAACTGGCTGTTTTTAAGGAGCTTAACCAGGAGCAATCAGCTGAAGGTGAGGAGACCTGGAGTGTTGCAGGATTTGACTCCTGTTAAGTGTTAAGTGAACCTTATCCTCACTTCACCTGCTCTGCAGGTACACACTGCCCACTGCCAGCCTGAGGCCTGCTGGGCAGCCACCCTGCACTCCAGTCTCTCAGGGTGAGCCCAGGTTCTATGCAGGACACAGCCTGCAGACCCTGTCCCAAGGGCCTCCTATTGGCCTCGTCCTGAAGTGCTGGAGTGAAGCCCTGGAGACCCAGCGTCTGGCCCGAGTGCGGGAACAGGCTTCTCTGGGCACTCCTGCTGCCTGGCATCACCAAGCAGGGCCCACTTCCCTTAGACATGCTGGGATGGCCGCTTCCTCGTCGGGCTCCTGGACCCCCGCCCAGACTGCCGAGCTGCGTGCAGAGGTGGGGGCCAGGGCCGGGCTTTCTGTGCCTCAGCTTCTCATCTGTAAGTCAGGGGATACCAGTCCCTGCCTGGCATACAGGGGACTTGATAAATAAGAGAATAACTGGTTCTTGTTGCTGTGTCATTAATAACAATTACTATTGGCAACATGACCCTTCAGCCTCAAAGGAAAAAGCTACTTGAAAACAATGAGCCGGTCTGCGTCAAGACAAGTAAACCTGCCCACTCTGGACAGACCTGGTCAAGGACCAAAGGCCGGGGGAGGGGCTTCCAAGCCATTTTTTCAGCTAAATGGTTGGGGCCTCCCCTGCACTGATGACAAGGAGCTTTTTCCAATGTCACTCATTTACTCTCCAGCAGCCCCATGCGGTGGGTGGAGGCTAGGAGAGGGGCCCAGCCAACGCGACCACCTCACCTGGGCCTCAGTTTCCCCTAAGATAGGGAGGGAAGATGGCCTCCAGGACCCTTCTGGTAATGAACCATGGATCTCACCAATGTGATACTGATTCTGAGCTCAGAAGCCAACAGAAATTGTCATTGTTTTACTAGACGGAAAACTAAATTTCAAAAGTTAAAAACATCAAAACAGCCTGGCCGGGTGTGGTTCAGGGGTTGAGCATCGAACTAGGATCCAGGAGATCGTGGTTCGGTTCCCGGTCAGGGCACATGCCTGGGTTAAGGGCTCGATCCCCAGTCAGGGTCATGCAGGAGGCAGCCGATCAATGACTCTCATCACCCATGTTTCTATCTCTCTCCCTCTCCCTTCCTCTCTCTGAATCAACAAGGATATATTTTTAAAAAAATAAAAATAAAAACATCCAGAGGAGCACCAGACTGTTCATTCCCAAGCAGAAGCTGACACAGAGTGAAGAGACAGAGCTGGCATGTCCCCGGGCGGGGTCCATGGGGAGCCCTCCCACTCCAAGGCCCACATCCTGACAGGACAGGGGCTTCCATGGTGGTCAGTCACAGCTCTGGTCACCACAGTGCCGGACCTAAGTTCCCGGCCAGGAGAACCAGCTCGATGTCTGCGTCAACACCAGGGTCCAAGGCCTGGAGCACAGGGAGCCTCGAGGGGCAGCTGGGGAGGGTCTGTCCTCCTCGAGCCTCATTAGGACCAGGGTGGTTCCAAGTATTTGGGACAGAAACAGCACCATCCTGATATCAAGGTATCCGTGTGGTGTAGAGGCGTAGGGTCTGGGGGTCTTGTGTGTGGGCAGGCAGCCACTCTGGCTTCTCGCGGCCGAGGGTGTTTCCTGCGTCCTGGCTGGGCTCCCTGCCCTCACCTAAGCCCTCCCCTGTGCTCACATGGCCTTCCCCTGGGAGCCTCCGCAATCTGCAAGGAGCCGGGAAGTCTGCCCTGCCTGGGAGTGGGGGTGCATTTGAATTCTGGATCACTGTCTAGGTAAGAAAGCCCACGCCAGCACTCAGAGTTCCTCCTTCCCCAGATATCTGCTTCTGCATCCCATGGGGCAGGAGAGAGGCGTCACTGTGCCTGAGAACCTGCGAAATTAAATTGAAAACTCGTTATGGCTGGGGTCAGGCTCCCATGAAAATCCTACACCGGCTTTGTCAGCTTAGGCCTCTCTCTGTGAATCTTTATTAAACTTGCATGAATTAAAATAGACTCTGAATAAACTTCATCCCAAAGTCTGGAAGGAGTCAGACGCAGGAACATCCAGCTCTGCCCCTGCTGCGGAACCACAGGCCCGTGGCCCTCAGGGATGGAAACCCACTTCAGAGGAGGAGGCGCCCACGGGGCCTCGCCGGGCCTGAGGTCCCCTCAAAACTGGATTGAGGTGGGGAGCCCTCCGGTGACACCAGCAGAATCCACCCTGAGTTTAAGCGGAGAGGGAAGCTGCCAGAGAACACGGGCCTGGTGCGTCAGGTGTGGGGGCTCTGCCAGGGGCCACCAGGCAGTGGGGCCTTGGCTCCTGTCCCTGACGCTGGATAGGGTGGTGCCACCTGACACCTGCAGAAGCCATAAAAACGCCTGGACTGTGGGGGCAGAGCGACCGGCTGCCCAACATGCTCCACTGGGGGCCTGGGCTTTTGAAATTCTCTCAGGGATGGTGGGCACATCTGTAGCCCACAGAGGCCCAGGGCTGGAGCCTCGAAGGCACAGGGAAGCTTTCCTTTGGCGTAAAGTGTTCTGGAGTGTGAATGCTCGCGGTCATCTTGCTGCAACTGCCAGGCACTTTGCACCAGGGTGGGGCACTGGCGGCAGGGAGCCTGAGAGGCTTGGGCACCTCGCTGAAGTCAGGCAGGTCCAAAGAATCTCAGGAGGATGAGGGTGAGGGTGAGGGCTGATCCAAACGCCTCTGGGCCCCGCCTTCCCCTCCTGTGACCCCCACGGTGACTGGGCCAAGGGGTCATCCTTCTGGGAGAGGCGGCCCTGGCACCATGCCCTGCACTTGGGCCTGACACTCTGGGCCCCTCCCTTTGTGGGCACACCAGGGTCTTAACCCCTCACTGCAGTAAATGGGGGTAAGAATAAGTTGTCCTGAGGAGCCAGTGAGACCATGCATGGGCAGAGCCTGCATGGACCCCCCCAGGCCAGAGAGGGCACCTAGTGGTCATTGTCGAAGCTGCACTACTGTGAATACAACCAGAAACCCCTAGATATTTGTACCAACTTCCTCTCCGGGTTTTGTGGCTCAGGACACTCCACAGTGACAGGACTGGCCATGCAATTTGCAGGGCCTGGTGCAAAACAAGACTGCAAGCCCCTTGTCCAAAAGCCATCACGAATGCCAAGGCAGTGCTAGCTGGGCACGACACTGACCTCGGGGCCTTCTGAGCTGGGTCACGATGGCACAGGCCACACGCTCCCAAGGCCAGCCTGAGAGTGACTCACCAGGTGGGAGGTGCTCAGTCTTCTATGGCCACCCAGCACCCACACACATGCACACGTATGCACGTGTATGAGCACATGTGTGCATGCATATGCACACATGCACACACACTCACGCCTTTCCCTGCACGTAGCTACCCTACCATGGGAACTACACATTCTGATGGGAGTGGTTTGCAGCCCTCATTGTGCTGTGACAGGTCAAAAGGTTGAGTTCCGGGTCTGGTCACCTGCTCATCTACAGGGTTGACCCCGAGCCCCCAGCCTGTGTCAGGACCACCAACAGTGCAGGAACCCAGAAGGACTCCCTCAGGAGCTGCCTCTCCACTGCTGTTTCTCCCCATCCTGCGGGCACATCCCAGTGCCTCCCATGTGTCCCAGATCTTCGCTTCGGTCCTCTCTTGACATGGGAATGGCCTTGGGGGGGACTTAGGAGAGGCGTGTGGTATGCAGTATACATGTATGTGTGCATGCGTGTGTGTGTGCATGCAGGCAAGGCTTAGTTTGGACGTGATATGTGCAGACATGAGCCTTGGGACTTGCTGGGCGTCTGGAGGAACCAAAACTCTCAGGAGCTGCCACCATGCGTGTGGGAGGGGCCCAGGCGCCCACCCACAGGAATCACATGTCTGGGAGCAGCTGATACAGAACCTCTCCCGGCCTCTCCTGGCTTCGAAAGGGTTCCTGACGCTCTCTTCTCTCACACTCTGCAGTACGCAGGGGAAGTTCCCGAAAACCGGGTGGAGACGGTAGTCGCAAACCTCACCGTGACGGACCGAGACCAGCCCCACTCACCCAACTGGAACGCCATCTACCGCATCATCAGCGGAGATCCCTCGGGGCACTTCACCATCCGCACGAACCCCGTCACCAATGAGGGCATGGTCACCGTGGTGAAGGTGGGTGCTTGCCCTGCTTCCTGCCTGGCCCCCTGGCACATACCCCTGCCACATACCCCAGGAAAAATTCAACAGGAATGACACTTGGGTGAAGTGCATGCCACCCTTAACATCCAAGGACAAAGGACTGTGCCCAACCACTGGTGGCAGAGGAAGCCTGCGCGAGGCTGGTCCTATGACCTCCCAGGCCTCTGCAGCCTGGCCCACCACACCCCCAGGTTACTCTCCCACCCCTCCCTGAAGGCCACAGTGCTTTAATCTGTTAGTGGGTGGATTCCATTCAGACCCTGTCTGCTGTTACCCGCCTCGCGTTCCTGGGACAGCCAGCACGGTCCTGGAGGCCTTCCGTAATCCATGGCTGACACCTGAAGATTTTTCCTCTATTTTTCTGAGCACTTTAGGCCTATAGTTTTCTTTTCCTAGTACTATCTGTATCTAGGTTTCGGTACCAAAATTATAGACTAGTCTCCAGAAGTGTGTTGGGGGTGGGGAGGGTTTGGTTACCCAGGACAGCAGGAGGGCGCCTGGGGGTGGACGCCTGTGTCTTGATCATGGTGGTGGGGATATGACTCTACTGGTCAAAATTCACAAGTGAATCTTAGCGTATGCAAATTTTTAAATATGTTTTATTGATTTTAGAGAGAGAGGGAGGGAGAGTGAGAGAGACAGAAACATCAATATGAGAGCAAAACATCGATTGGCTACCTCCTGCCGGGAGGATTGGATCCCCCTACCAGGGATCGAGCCAGCAACCGGGGCATGTGCCCTGACTGGGAATCAAACTGGTGACCTTTTGGTGCAGGGCCAATGCTCAACCCACTGAGCCACACTGCCTAGAGCTGTGTGTGCGCATTTTAAAATAAGTTTTAGAACACTTTGAACTGAAAGCACACGCAGTTCCACTCTCCCCACAGTGTCCCGGGTCACTGTGTCCCAGGCAGAGTTCAGCAATGGGCACCATGCTTTGCCTGTCTTTCTTTCATTTTTGTTTTAATTCTTTACAGGGCTTTTCTCTGAAATTTCCATGTCAAGTCTGTGTAAGGCGAGATGTTTCCAGTCAGTTTTGTTCTTTGGCAGGGACACCATCCTTTCAGACACTCTCTCCAGGGGTGGCCAGGAGGGAGCTGGCGTGAGGCAGGGGCAGGGAAGGTGGAGGGCAGTTCGGAGACCCGGCCCACAGGAGAAGTGGGTCCCTCAGGACATGTGTTCTTGGATCCCATGCTGGCGCTTCATGCTCTGACCCCTGCCATGGGCCAGCTGCCCTCTCTGTGCCTCAGTTTCCTCATGCATAAGATAAGAATAAGAGGGAGCTACGCCCAGCTTTATCGCTCATATTAAAAGAGATTCCGGATATAAAAAATTTGGCCCAGGGCCTGGCACGCAGTAAGAGTTCAGTCATAAGTCAGAATTGGCTGCTGTCACTGTCATTATGGCCTGGTTGTTCTCCAGGCTCATCCCTAGCCACAGGGTTCCCAAGTCCCTTAGGAGCACTAGGCGCCGTTTCGTGTACGCACACTCCAGCCCGACCCCGCAACCCCCTGGCTGTGCAGAGGTTTGTACCCACAGAGGGACGTGGGGCAGGGGTGTCCAAGTGTCCTCATGGCGGGTACGCCCTGGAGACCACAGCCCAGCCATGCGTGCAGAGCGCCCCTCCTTGTCGGGAGCAGCCAGCTTCTAGTCCTGGCCCCCCCGTGTCCCTGGGTTGGGCGCTCTGCCCTCTGAGAGTTGTGTCTCTTTGGGGCTGATGCAGCTTGTGCACGGGACGAGGGGGCTCCTGGGCACAAGTGTCTGTGGCCACCCAGCCCCCAGCCATCCATCACAGGTCCTGACTTCATCTTCCCTCCTCAGTCGTGAGGTCCAGCTCACTCGCTGTCAAAGGAAGTCCACGGACCAGCTTGTGTGGCTCAGTTGGGTGACATCCTGCGCACCAAGAAGTGGTGGTTCGATTGCTGGTCCGGGCACATGCCCAGGCTGTGAGCTTGATCTCCAGGAGGGGTGTGCAGGAGGCTGCCAATCGATGTTGATGTTTCTCTCTCATGGACGTTTCTCTCTGTCTCTCTCTCTCCTTCTCCCTTCCTCTCTCTCTAAAATCATTAAAAACATTTTTTAAAAAAGAAATCCACAGTCATCTCAGGTGGGTCTTCTGGTCCCTGCCTTGCCCCACCTGCCCCCCCAACTCTGCCCTTCAGCCAAACTGGGCCTGGGGACTTCGTGAGCCCCCCCACCTCTCAGGCTCTGCCCCACCTGAGGCGGACAGCTCATCAGCTCTCAGACCTCCCCCAACGGGGCATCTGTCACTGTCCCCAACCTCTCAGGAGCCCCTGTCTCCTCTGCCCTCCCTCCTCCCTGGCCACAATTTCCCTCCTCCAACCATGAAGTCACAACCTCCTCCGAGGAGAAAATCCAGCTCAGACTGATCACTGGGTCTTTCCATCCTGACACCTGGGCCTCAAGGTTGAAACTCAAAGCCAGAATCAGCCTCTCTGCTTACCCTGGCGACACACTCGCCCAAGACAGTGAGGGGCTGTGGCCCAGGTGCCAGAGGAAGGTCAGAGAGGGGCCCCTCTGCACCCCACCCCCAGCCCCAGCATTCTTCGAGTCCTGGCTCCCAGAGCAGACGTGCTCTGGCCGCCTGTGTGCCCCGCATGCCCCTGCTCCAACCCCTGCCCCGCCCTCACCCCGCAGCCTCACCTTTGAGCAAGGGGCCACTGCCAGGTCCGGCGGGCAGCCCAGCCGAGCCCCGAGAGCAGGCCCTGCCACTCTAATTGAAACTGTTGGAGCAAATTACCTATTGATTCCTCCATTACAGAAATGTTTTATTTCAGCCCCCACATACTTTTATTGGCCATAATAGCCTTTCTAGAAGGTGTCCTCACTCAGTCTGTGGACACAATATTTAATGTGTGACATGCAGCATTTTCCCACGTCCTCAGGGACACAGAAGCCGTAGACGCCAGAGAGAGATACTCCGTTAATGGCGTGTTCATGGACAGAGACACCATGACTTTATGTGGCAGTAAATTTAAGCAGTAGCTCCATCTTCAGCTGACCCTCAAAGGCACCTGGTGGAGAGAGAGGGGTGACCTGTCCCCAGCATGGGTGCAGGTGGGTGCCGTGTGCTCAGAGGCGTCTGGAGTCCAGGGATAGAGGGTTCTCACCTGGGGGCGGGGTTCGTGCTCTCTGCACAAAAGTCCCTGACAGGATCTTGCAGGTGAGGGGGTGACAAGAGATTGATTCTGCCTTGGGCGCCTCAACAGGCAGGCAGCCAGCTTGGGCCACTGAGCGTCCTGCCAGGTGACACCTGTGGGTGCAAAGCCCCTCCCATAATCACAGCCCTGAGCAACACCCGTGATGCTGGGCACTGGGCAAGAGTGATGGGCAAGGAACATTTCGGACCATCCCCTGCACCCCTGGGCACCTGTGGGGTACGGCTGACCCAAACGGCACCATGCTGAGCACCACGAGGAGGGGAGGCGTCAGCTGTGAGCACCGTGCACCGCGGGGGGATGTAGCAGGGAGCACCCCTTCCTTCAGGGAGCAGGGAGACCCTGGAGAGGATGCGGGCTCCTCAAGGTCGCCCAGGGCAGTGGGGGCTGCGGGGGCACCAGAGCCCCGACCCCAGTGCCGCCTGCAGCTCGTCCCAAGCGACTGCGTGGGCTTCCACAGCCCACGTCTCGGTTCCTTTCAGGCCTGCCCGCACTCTCACATACTTAGGTTTTAAGTTCCTTCTCTTTGTACTTAATTCCTTAGTAGACTGTACACCCAATCTAGTACTTATCAGTTGGGGTCCTGACACCCCCAAAAGGGGGTAACTGGAAATAACCACACATAGGTGCTTAAAACAACAGAAATGGATCCTCACGGTTCTGGGGCCAAAAGCCCGAAATCCGGGTGTCTCGGGGCGGCTCCCTCTGGAGGCTCCGGGGAGGCTCCTTCCTGCCTCTTCCAGCTTCTGGTGGCTGTCGGCAATCCTTGGTGTCCCTGAGCTCAGAGCTGTGTCACTCCAGTCCCCACCTGTCCTCACTTGGCCTCTCCCTGTCTGTCTGTGTGCCTCAGTCTCCCTGCCCTTCCTCTCATGAGGGCACCGTCCTTGGATTGGGACCCACCCTCAAATCCAGGATGACTTTATCTCAAGATCTATAACTTAATCACATCTGCAGAGACCCTATTTCCAAATAAGTTTACAGTCACAGGTTCCAGAGGGACAGATCTTGGTGGGGGAGGAGTGACCGTTCCACCCGACACCTAGTGGGGCACCCCTGGGCAAACAGCAGGGGCTGATGACACTCGGCTGGGGAGCAGGGCAGGCATGGCATCCCCGAGCCTGATGACAGTCAAGCCATGGAGAGGCCACCTGGTGGGTGCTGTAGCCCCTGAGGAGCCCAGCTACAGCCCACCATGAGGCAGACAGGAGGGTGGGGTATGGGGGCCTTTCACCCCAAAATCTCTCCTCCCATTGGCCAAACCCAGCAGGAAGCCAGAGACAAGGCAGCCTGGGGGACGGCATCCCTTGGGACCAGCCTCCTGGGCACAAAGCAGGGTGGGAAATGTAGCAACAGGCAGGGGCAGGGTGCTGACCATGCAGCCCCACATCCCACCCCTCCCTCGGCCCGTGGACACCCCTCCGCCCATCCCCGCGGGCGCCTCTGCAGCTTGCCCACTGGCTTCTCTCGTTCCAGGCCGTGGACTACGAGCTGAACAGAGCGTTCATGCTGACCGTGATGGTGGCCAACCAGGCGCCCTTGGCCAGCGGGATCCAGATGTCCTTCCAGTCCACGGCGGGGGTCACCATCTCGGTTACAGACGTCAACGAGGCCCCCTACTTCCCCTCCAATCACAAGCTCATCCGCCTGGAAGAGGGTGTGCCCCCCGGCACTGTGCTCACCATGTTCTCAGCAGTGGACCCCGACCGCTTCATGCAGCAGGCTGTGCGGTGGGTCCGTGCACACGCACCTCCGCTGCCCCCGACCCTTGGGCCCCTCACTTTCCAGGGAGCGGAGCCTGACCACCCCATGAACCTGCAACCACGAGGTCCCCACTGGGGCTCAGGGCGGCCCCAACCTGCTATGTCTTTCCAGGCAAGAGCCACAGCCCAGTCCAGACAGGCAGCCACGCAGGGCAATGCCACAGCCACGGGCGTACTGACCGCACACGAGGCTGGAGTCAGGCTGAGTCCTGCTCCTGGCCTCCAGCCACTGGCTGTACTTCAGGTCGCTCACCTCTCTGTTCCTCAGTTTCCCCACCTATGAATGGGAACAATGAGAGCGTCTGCCCCTGGGGTCCTTGCGAGGACACACAGCCCGTCCACCTTGGTGACCACAAGTCACTTGTCACCATGCCACCACAGGAGGGCCCTGCACAGGGCTGGGGGGAAAGCCTCCCGGTGTCCCAAAGAGCCAGCTGGCAGCCTGGAGAGGCTGCAGCTCCAGGGCAGACCTGTGCTCTCCTGCCCCTCCCCTCCCCTCCCCT